AACAAATCAACAACGTACAGATACGAAAACACCAAGCATAAAGCTTCAAGAAAAAACACCAAATCAGATGGAAAAAATCAAATGCAAACAAGGGTAAATGACTACATTGTATGGCAAACAATGGAAAATATGTTAAAATTATTAGATAGAATTAGCTTAAGATTCGACAACCTTGAGCAAAGGGGCAAGGACAAATATCAATTAACACTGCGTAGGAGATTAAAAGATGGTGGCTGACAATATGATGAGCGTTCTGACCTGGAACGCCAATAGTCTTCTCAAAATAAAAGTTGGAGTTAGAAACTATATTAAATTTGGAAAATATAGATACATATATATGTCTTGTGTCAGAGAGCCAGGACTGTCGACAAATGTATAAATTTCGACAATTCGAGGGTATAAAATTTACCCTGCGATGCATCCGGACAATCCAGCTCAATGTGGTAGTGCTGTTATAATCAAAGAATCAATTAAACATTATGAGTTCTGTAAAGTTGAAAACAGAGAGATACAGTTAAGTGTAGTTCAAGTGAAAACAACTAGGTATAGTTTGCAAGTGGGAGCAGTATATTTTCCGCCGAATTACACAATCCAAGAACATACATATATTTAAAGAAGTAATTCAACTACTGGGGGACAGATTCGTCATGGGAGGAGATTCCAATGCTAGATCCAGAGGAAGAGAACTTAGGCAAGCTATAAAAGAAACAAATTGTTTATTTCATTTGACGGGCAAACCAACATATTAACATTAAATAAAATGCCGGATATCGGAAAATTATTGTTTTTTCATTACAAGGAAAATTGCAGAAAAATTCATAACGATCGAAGATAGGTACGACTTTGAATCCGTACATTTAGCCGTAATGCCAACGGTTAGGGACAGAGTGATAATAAAAGAAACTAAACCATCTCTTTGAATGCTTCTACAGACTGGCAGACCCTTTAAAAACTTTTAAAAACTTTATAAAGTTTTTGCATGCAAACTGTCTGGAACAGGGCTGTCGTTTGGTTCCGATTTGAAAATTTGTGTCACTGGCTCCTCCTTTTGCATTATGGCTCCGTTTTTGTTTTTCCTCAGTCAAACCCAAAAATAGTATTGATAATTATTCTTGAAAAAAATTTTTCAATTCAAAAATATAATTTCTAAATAAAAAAATAAACTTTTTTTACAATATTTAAAAATTCGTTAACAATACCTTGACTAGCGATATTATCTACATATACCTTTTTCTGCTGATTCAAAAGCCGCGTGTGGTCAAGTATTTTAATTAGTCAGTTATAGCGTCAAAAAACCAAACTTAGGAAAATTCGTCGATGTTACCAAATGAAATATGTGTGTATAGATTTTTTTCAATAAACGATACTCGTAACATTGCAATCTGACTTCTTAATTGAAGTGGATCGAGTATATTGTTGAAAACTTGAAAAATTTAACTAATGTACCTCATTTTAGCCCATTGTGGTGCGGCAGCGGAAAAGGTACTTTCTTCTGTTAATTTGATTAAAACCAAATTGAGAAATGGTTAGCAATATTTCAAACCACTTTTTTTACTTATCATTCTGCAATCCACTTTCTTTTTATATCATCATTCCTAAGAAAACTGTAAATATGTAAAAAAAAGTTCATTTAAAATATCGTACGAGTATGTATGAAAAAAAAATTCTTTCCTGGTAAAATAAAATCATGAGAAGTAATTTTAGTTTAAAACAAAACAAAAACAAATGTTTTATTCGCAAAATTTAAAACTTAATAAATTGCTAAAATAAATTTACAAAGTATCAAGTTCCAAAAAGTTTACTAAAAGCTCTTGATATTGTATACTTTTCGCATTGTATACTGCGTTTCATACGTAGTGAAGACGTAAAATAAAAGTAAATCGAGTATCGAAAAAATCGAGCACGCTTTTCTTATGCCTTGTCATATAAATGTCACCAGAAATACCCGATAAAATAAACTAGTATATATATTCAGCAATAAAGATCTAGTTACCAACTATTTTTTCCTAAAATCCAGCATAAAAATGCTATTAAAAATGCTATTGTTTTTAATGATGTGGTAACGTTTTATAAAAATTAACATTTGAACAGAACTTTAAATTGAAATTTTCAAATAAACGTCAAAGTTTTATTGATATGGTAAAAATTGTATTCCAAAATTTACGAAGAGCTTTAGTAGTTTTTTTTACAATGTAAAGGTATTGAAAGCTCTGAGACGGTACTACAACCGTATTAATACCGTACTTAAATCTTTTTTAAAGCATTATTGAAGTCACGGAATCTTTTTTCCACATGCTATTTTTTTTCACATACTAAGTTTTTATAAAACAATATTCTTTTTTTACAGTTATTATTAAATATTATAATTTTTTATTTACAAACAGGGCGAATTTTAATTATACTAAAATCATGAAACTTTCTTCAGGATGAGCGATTTATGCAGTTTTGGAAATAAAGCAAAAATAAATTTAAAGAGGTCTTAACATAATGCTTAAATTAAATGACTTTTCCAAATATTTAAAATTAGCTTTTGGAGTTGTATGGCAGACTCGAACCGGTGCAGCTATTCCATTAAAATACTTAAAGTATGTATTGCACTAAAACTTTGCAAATATATCTGATCTATAATTGGACACACAACTGTCAAGTTTCATAAATCTGACATTATTTTTCCAAATATTTAAAATTAGCTTTTGGAGTTGTATGGCAGACTCGAACCGGTGCAGCTATTCCATTAAAATACTTAAAGTATGTATTCCACTAAAACTTTGCAAATATATCTGATCTATAATTGGACACACAACTGCCAAGTTTCATAAATCTGACTATTTTTCCAAATATTTAAAATAAGCTTTTGGACTCGTATGGGAGCTACTCCAAACTGTCAAGCAATTCAACCAAAACTTCAGAAATATATCTGACCTGTAACTGGACATCCGACTGCCAAGTTTCATGAATCTGACTTTATTATTTTTCCAAATATTCAAAATTAGCTTTTAGAGTTGCATGGCTAGTACCCGAACCTGTCAAACAATTCCACTAAAACTTCAGAAATATATCTGACCTGTAATTGGACACATGACTGCTAAGTTTCATGAATCTGACTTTATTATTTTGCCGAATATAAAAAATTTGCTTTTGGAGTTGTATGGCAGAATCGAACCGGTGCAACTATCCCATTAAAATATTTAAAGTATGTATATGTAGAATGTAATTGGACACATGCATACAAAATTTTATATTGATCCCTTTATTGGTTTTTGAAATATTTAAAATAAACTCTTTGAGTTGTATGGCAGCTACCCGAACCCGTTGTCCAAATTAGTCCAATTACAATAGGGTCCTTGGTACAAAAGAAACAACTTGTGAAAGTTTGGTGTCGATTGCATTAATCGTTTTTGAGTTATCATGCGATCGGACGGACGGACATGTCTAAATCGACGCAGAATTTGACGCTGAGCAAGAATATATATATATATATATGTCCATACCGAAGACGACTCCTTCAAGTAGTTGCAAACTCCATACCAAAGTTAATATACCCTTCACGAAGTGCAGAGTATAAAGAGGTTGCTATTTCGGAAATATAAGATTTGGCGTCTTCAAATTCAAGTTTTGCAAGTTTCAAGAGCCGATAATTTTAGAGGGGGTGGAGGTGGAGAAAACTAATTTTCTAACGAAATTAACTATTTATTAGTGACTAAAAGGTGTTACAACCGGAGGTCTAGAAGAAAAACGACATCAAAATTATGGAAAATATGAATTTTAGGTAATGGTAAATTTTGACGGCCATTTTGTTTTTTTAAAGTTTAAATATAGAATACCATGATAGAAGATACTTATGATTACTTATGATTTCACTTCAATAAATAATTAAAAAATGGCATTTTTTGGTAACTTTCTAGTAAAGATCTATGCACATATAAAATTTACCTTATCTTCAAGAGTGTAGAAGATTTTAAACATGTCCGAGAAACGGACGGACAGCAAAGTGAAATTAATAAGCACTTTTTTCAAAATTTTTTGGGAAAAATGCATAAAAACAAACAATTTTGCAAATTTGAACCGCATTTATAAAAAAATAAAGTAAAATGAGAAAAAATATTTATACATGTAAAATAAAAAATCAAATAAATATTCGAAAGTCGGAGTATTTAAAAAAAAACTATCATTTGAAAATGGTCAACAAGTAGCAACTCCAAAAATTAAGTAGCGCTTTAAAATTAACCCAAAATATTATCAATTTTCAAAAATTTTCTTATATTTAACGTTTTTTTTTTACATTTAAATCTTTTTTAAGCGATATTTGTCTGCAAAACACAACAATTTTTTTCCCATTAATTATGTTTTTTTTAAAACTTTGAATTAGTTTTTTCCATTTTCTTTGGTACATATATGTATGTATATGTATGTACATTTGTAAAATTTAATTGCTATAAAAATATTTTTGTTAATTTCAAACTAATAAAATTTATTGAAAAAAAATTAAAATGTGTACACATAATATGTATATCTCTTTAAAAATTACGTGAAAACAAGGACTCAATAGAAAAAATTCTGAATTTTATCCTTGAGTTCTTCAAGAAAGCTATCGCGTACAACTCTCAATATTATTCGATTTGAAAAAAATTTAATAACTTACATAATGTATCTACATAGATATACATTGTGTCCATACTTATATACATACATGCGCATCTTCATTTATAATTGTATCCGATAATCCGATATTTGAAAGTGCATAGTAATTGATATTAATATTTAAATGCTATTCCGGAAAACATATTGTGTTGGGTCCTATTGCACTGACCCCTTTTTACTTTTTTAATCAGGTTATCAAAAAATTTCAAAAGTTTCCCTTGCACCAATAATCGAAACACAAATAAAGAACTTTTTATTTATTATCATTAATTTGTTGATGAACAGTACTTCATTGTGAAACATATTTTTGCCTATAGATAAAAATGCAATCTCCATAAAAAAATTTAAATAATTTGATAATATTTAATATTTTATTGATACATCCACATGATTTTATCTTTTCTAAAAACAAAACTATTTTCTAGAATTGTACACATTTATCACAAAAATAATGCATAATAATCCACTGTTGCAAAACAAAGCAAAATAACTTTTGTTTTAACTCTTCATTTTATATTTTATAAATTCATATATTAATTTATTATCTTAAGTTATTTTAATACTTTCAAACCAGTAACAAAGTTTCGGAATAAACGCTAAGTTTTTTAACACAAGAATAATCACAATGCGAGAACTTTGAATCCAAAAGCTTTAAACTTAATTTTTGGATATTTCAGTTTTTAACATTGCTTTTTTTGTTAACATTGAAATAATCAAAAATGTTTTTAAATGGTAAAGTAGTTCTTATGATTACTATAAATACATACTCACACAATAGTTTTTGTTAGTGTTTAACGAATTAATTTAAAAACAAAATTAAAATTTTAAATCAAAACACTAAATGAGATTCTTTTTAAGATATGTAAAAATGCTTTTACTAAATAGCAGATAAAACTTCTATTGGTTGGGAAAAAAATCGAGATAAAATAGTATCCCGCATAGTATCTATGTAACTTTGTTCAATCTGCTACAATCTGTAATAAAATTCGTATTTGCTACTATTATTTTTGAGAGCTTGATACTAATGCAATTATATACAGGAATATATTCACTTCAGCTGACTCATATAATATATATTACATAATACATTTTACTTGTTTTTTAATTATATTTAATTCTAATGTTCCTAAATATATCAACGAAAATTTTTTTTGGTAAAAGCTTTTTAAATTTCACTAAAATACATACATATGTATATTGGAAATTTTTTTTAACTTTGTGAATGTTGCGTGCCCGATATGTTCGTCTTATTATTTAACGAAGTATAGCCGGTTGGTCCTGGAGATGGATCTCTTCTTTTACAGCAATCAAATATCTTCTTCAATATATCGAACATTGAATCATTACCAAAATCATCAAAATCTTCTTGAAATATCCCTGAAGTTAAGTCTTCCAAACTACTTGAACCAACAAATTGCTTCAAATCGCTTTGTGGAAACCCATCACGGTAATATCGCTTGATTGTATCATACGCATCCATTATAACTGATATAAATAACGATAGAACAACATATATATATAGTGAAATAAACGAATATAAATAAATTCGACAAAACCACCACAACATTTGTGATTTATTTGACATTGTTGTAAATGTTGCAAACATGTCGTCACCGTTTATTAAAGAAAACAAACACTCGGATGTCATCGCTAAGGAACGAAATTTCATATGATATGGCCCAAGCACTAACCAACCACAAAATGTAAATCCACCGTATATCAATAAGGCACATAATAAGAAACGAACTATTTTTGGAGCAGCCTTTTTTAGTGTTAATATCACTACGTTGTATGTTTTGAAAAAACCCAAATACCGCAAAACACCGAACCAAACTAATAAGTTTCCTATTCCTAGAAAAACAGAACAAATATCCCAACTATCACGTTCAGTGAATCTCCTTTCGATTTGTTCTTTAAGTGCCGATCCAATTATCAAAAGAACATCATTACAGCAAATCATGATATACCTTATAATAATACATAAAAATATTAATAATTCTTTTAATTAAATTTATGTGCTCACCAAAAATTAACAAATTCCATTTTTCCATCAAAACTCAGAGGTTTTCTGTATGTAACCCAAAAAAAATTTTGTGTTTGAATCCTCAGCAGTTGTGCACGATAAATGGCACGCGCACAAAGTGAAAATGATATCACGCATATTAATATTACAAAGTAATTTAAAACACTCCTTAGTATAGAGTCAATACTCGATTGCATTACATATTTAACATCGCCTTTACAATACAATCGCAGAGCGTCTGCCGTTAAAGATATCAATGTTTGCCCGTCATGATCTCCATTATCGAAAATTATTTCAATGTTAAATTTATAACAGTCTGGAGCTGAAAATGGACCATAAGCTTTGAAATTGACTGTTTTAATAGCAAATCTTAATGTTGCTTTTACTAAAGCTGAGAAATTTACTACAATATCTTTTGATTTGAGAAAAACTTCAACACCACTTCGAGTAACATCTTCTGTTAAACTCACGCATAGTTTGTCTATTTCTGGATTAAAAACATAACTTTCATTAAATCCAAATATCTGTCCTTCACGATATGTGTATAAGCAAAGTTTCATTGGTGCCATCGTATTATCAGACGAAGGATAACTATAAGGCCCAATAGATCTTGATAAATTTGAATATCCTATAGTAGCGTAATCGATTGTTTCAAAAAATTCTGATTTTTCATATATTGCTAGTGGACCAGCTGACGGAGGATATGCTTCAACTTCCATGTAGGAGTCCCAACCTTTTAAAAACAAATGTGAAAATGTAATGCGGTTGTCGCCAGTGTAATTAACATGATTATAACGCGAGTGCGCAAATAAACACAATTGCATTGTTACAAGTACAATTTTGACTACCTAAAAAAAATGATCAAAGTTTATGTTATAATTGATCAGGTTATATAAAAGTGTTTGCCTGGTAATTTTTAAAATTTAAACTTTTTATTTTTACAGCTTCTAAATTATCAGTTATATACATTTTTTTGATATATTATGTATGTATTAAGTTATATGTACATATGTTGGATATATTTATGCATGTACATATGAAGTACTATAAGTAGCAATGTCGGTATTTGGAAAACAATGTGGGTATATGTACTTAAAATATTGATAAAATTTTATGTTAATACTATGTTTATGAAAATTAAGAATACAGGTTTTATTATAATTATATAAGTGCATAAACAAAGCTACATACCATGTTTTTGCATGTTAATATTACAAAGATAAAAATTTTAATTTCGCTTTAAAAAGTTTTCAGGTATTAAAATTACATCATACAAATTAGACTAGACAAAACAATTGTGATTTATCACTTTTTATTTATTTAATGCGAGAAACCTAAGAAGGAAATATAAAAAAGAGTAAGCTACTTTATTTTTAGGTTTTTATAGGTACCTAAGTATATTGTTTGTTTGTGTTTATAGGGTAAGTACCTATAACAAAGAAAAGTTACTTGTAAAATTAACAATGCATATACATATATTTAATTGTAGCATTAAAAAATTTTTAGAACTAACAAAATAAAATTTTATTCTATTATTATTATTAACTGAAATTACTAAGCAAATAAAACATGAAATAATTTAATAAATTATAACCTTGATCTATTTGATGCTATTTAATATCAAAATAAATCGAGGAAACTATTTAATTATTGAAATATTTTAGATCTTACTTGAACTACAAATTTATAAGGAAATCGCCGTTTAGCTCGCCATTTTTCTATAGGATTCATAAAGAAAAATTGTAATTTCCTCCTCATACGATTTTCATTATGAAAAGAGAATGGAGACAGGCCCGATGTTTCTTCACATGGTTCAGTAATTGGTCTCGTACTGGTTTCTGATGTGATTGATTGATCTTCTGTTAAATTGTTTACACTAGATTGGAAATTTTGATTTGTTTTGAATGCACCACGATAATCTTCATCACTTTCACAACCATAATTATCAACATTTTCTTGGCTGAGATTATCTTTCCTTATCATTTTATGTAGTATATTTATTACTATAGAAAGTTTTTATTATTGTGGGTGTATTTTCTGACTTAGTAAATTTCAGAAAAATTAATAATTTTTATAAGATAACAATATCAGCAGATAAATCGTCTAAAGTGTATTTATATTAATTATTAATAATGTGTTTATGATTTATGTTGACAAAGAAACGTCGTAATTAATAGCTTATACTTTCACCACATATTTATATTTGAAACCCTATAAACAAATTTATCAAAGCTGGTAGAAACTTGAAGTTTACTTAAATTTACTAATGCATTAACTAACACCAACGTTTCCTTACAATAAAAAAATTTAACATTTGAAGTAAAAATTTACTGAAAGCAAGACGGGATTATTATATATATGGCAAAATTTAAGATTATATCTACGGAAAAGTCTAATGACAGTTGACGTATCAAACTGATATTTCCTGATAGAACGCAGACATTACTTTATAATTTAATATTTTTGGTACAAAAATTATAATCAAAATAAAAATCATCTGATCGCTTTTCCAAACTCTTACAAAGAATTTATTGACGCCATAGAGTAATTTCTATTGTTGTAAGACAAAGTCTGATGTCAAACAACAATGACATATACAATTCAAGTTTCATTAAACTGAGACACATTTTAAATTTTGTTGTGTGCAATCAAATCGGCAACTTACGTTAAGAGCAAGAGATATTAAACATTGAACAAAGTAAATAAAAAATATATAATAAATTAACCTCAGTTTATATGTAAAATTTTTAATAAAAAATAATTGTTATCTTTTGACAACGTCAAAGTATACTAAATTATTTTTTGTCAAAAAACTAATAATTTTTGGTGAAAAAAAGACAAAAATTATTTATTATTTTATTATTATTTTTTATTAGACAAAGTTTATTTCTTTTTTAATAAGAAAACTGGGTTAAAACTCGATTCTGCCTCGCGGAGGAACAACAGAGTCAAGATTTTTGAAATATTATAATCTGTGTTACTTTATTATATTTCAATTATTCTGAACGTATTCTTGAATTTTTATAGATAAAATGCCAAAATAAGCAAAAGCAAAATTGAAAAATAATGTAGTTTTCATTACTTGTTCTCCTTATTGTGTTCTTTGTTTTTCTTTGTTTTCAGTTCTAAATGCTCTACAATCAGTTTTTGTTTTACGATTACATGTAGGTAAAAACTTCGAAGTACATACTTACATATGTAAGTACATATTTGAAAATAACACTAAATTAATGTTACTATGAAATAGCATGTTCCTATAATGTTTTTACATTTTGTTTGATATTATAGTTTTTGTAAACCCAAAAGTGGGTTTATTTATAGCGGGTTTGATCGCAACTAATGGGAACTTTATACAAATATGTATATAAATTCCGTATACAACTCAGCTTTAAGTGCTTTAATAAAACGTATAAATTCAAAAAATTGTGCATAAAATACGAAATCAAATAGTATGTTTATATTAAGCCTTTTACTTGCCTCTGCAGAAACTGTTTGTTTGAAGCTGAAATTTTATATATACATAGATCTCTACTAGAAACTTATTTCCGTAAAGAAAATGTTTACCTATCTTCCCCTCTAAAATTGTACCCCTCAAAAACTCTAAAAATGCCATTTGTTAATTATTTATTGCAGTTTTTGGAAATTTTGGAAACGCAAAAATGTAGCGGGTGCCTTCTTCTACCACAGCACAGCATTATGAACTTTAAAAAGACAAAAATAATGGTAAAACTTTCGGTTATCTAAAATGCGTTTCTTCAATTTTTTTGATGTCGTTTTTCTTCTTAATCCCAGGTTGTGAAAGTCTGAAACTTTAGCAGCTTTTAGACACTATTTAATAATTCATTTCGTTAGAAGAAAATTTTTTCCCACCTCCACCCTCTCGCAAGTTATCGTCTCCGAAATTTGTAAAATTTGAAGTTTTTGCGCCGAATATTTCCGAAACGGCAAGTTTTTTTAAATTTATATAAATGCAGAAAGTAATGGTAAATTCCATACCACTAAAAAATGAAATTAGTTTTATTAACTCAAGCAATTAACCCTAAAAATTGAGCATTATGTTAACTCCTCTTTAAATTTATTTTTGCTTAATTTCAAAGATTGCATAAATTTCATATTTAATCCTAAATATATGCGATCCCTGAAATAGTTTCGTATATGAATTTTTTTTTCTTTTTTTTTCCTCCGACAGTGAGGGAGCGTTGCTCCTACCCTAAAAAATCAACTAAACTCTGAACAGATAAAACTAGTGTCACTGTTACGTATATACCATGGCGCATTTGCCATTCCCCGTAGAACTTTTATTCTGGGATGTTTGAATTTTTTTAATGTGAGTCTTCTTGGCACAATCCCACACTTGAATGCCATATAGCCATATTGGTTTAATGATTTAGTTATAAATTAATACTCTATTATTAGTTGCCAAATTGGACTTATGACCTAGGAGCCAATAATTTTGTATATTTATTTTTTAATTCTATGTGTTTCATTTTTATACGCTCTTTCCACCTTAACTTGGCATCTAAAGTCATCCCCAGGTATTATGCTGAATTAAGGATTGCTACCTTCGTTTCATTTAGGCTAATTTGTGGTGGATTCACTATTTTTCGATTGGTGAAGTTTATGTGAACCGATTTTGCTGCATTCAACTTCACTTTTCAATTCTTAGTCCATTGGCTTATTTTGCAATTTGCCTCCTATAATTTTTTTGTCGAATCCACAATGTTCGATCCTACTGCCAATACTGCAGTATCGTCAGCAAAAGTGGCTACCGTAGCATTTTCCATTTATGGTAGATCACTCGTTTAAAGCAAGTACAAGGTTGGGCCCAATACACTGTCTTGAGGTACACCTGCTCTTTAATTTAAATTCTTGAATTTTTCTTTTAAGCACCTGGGAAACTCTGTTTGCTATCGGTTTGTTTGACATTTTTGTATTCTTCCATTAAGCTTTCGTATATGAATGAAAATAATTTTAATAGTCTAGTTGGTATGCATAGATTGTTTTTAAAAGCAGTATTTTCACTTGTTGAAGGGAAAAATGCTAGATTACAAACCATTGGTTTGAACCAACTCTATTTTGTTTTATTAACGACAATAATTATTCTGCTTTATTATAAATGGTCTTTGCACGTACCTATTTACTTAATTAAAAATATACCTACTTATATAAAATAAAACAATTTTATGTATTTCATTTAAGGTTTTTTTACTATCATATTTGGCTTGTTTCGCTTTTTAGACATTATAAATTATTTAAAGTAAGTATAACTAATCAAAATATTTTTATGTCATTTTATACATTCCTTACAAAATTTCTTTTGCAAAAATTAGGTTCAAAATTTTATAGAATTATTTTAATTATAAAAAAATGTCTATTGCGAACAAAATGCTTATTGAGGTTACATATATTTCATTATAAAACTGTAGTCGTTATTAAGGCAACTAATTTTTTAAAAATACTAGTAGGTACATGTGCTTAATATGTGAAATTCTGGGTCTTACTTGTGTAAGATATAATGTTTGTGATTTATTTTAATTACACTATTTTCCAATCAATAATTAATGTGGAACACTATATAATATTTGTCATGATTTAGATAAAATTATAAAAGGGTTGATTTTAAAATTTATTTAGACATAACAAAAAATAACGGTGTTTGTTTTTGCTTGATTTTAATGTAAAACGAGACTTGACGGTGTCAACTCTGTGATGGCCGTACGAATTTGTTATCCTATGTGCAAGTAAATATGCCACAGCTTACTATGAGACAGACCATTACTTTAAGTTTCCGTATTACCATACTAATTTATGCAAAATTTCGATACTATGTTTCCAATATTTTCTAAGATATAGCCAAACTACAATTGAAGTTGTATGGCAGCTACCACAAGGATAATAATACACAAGAATAGTAATACACTTGCTTTCACGAAATTTCTATATAATGCCAAATAACTTTTGAAATTGTATGGCAACTATCACAGGTGCTCAAGTGATCTCAACAAATTTTAATGAATGTAGCTACCATTTTACCATATTTTATTTTGGGAAAATTTAATATTCAGTACTATTGAACAGTAATATATATAGCCAAAGAAACTTTGAAGTTGTACGGCAGCTACCCGAACATATTCAATTTAAAAAGGGGTTTGGTTTTACTATAATAAAAAATCATTTGCGAAAATTTGGTGAAATCAGCTCAATTAGTTTTTGAGTAATCGTTATTTATTATACATAAATATGATTGCAGTTCCACTTTTTTATACCCTGCACTTCGTGAAGGGTATATTAACTTTGGTATGGAGTTTGTAACTACTTGAAGGAGTCATCTGCGGTATGGACATATATAAATATTCTTGCTCAGCGTAAATTTTTGCGTCGATTTAGACATGTCCGTCCGTCCGTCCGTCCGATCGCACGATAACTCAAAATCGAATAATGCAATCGACACCAAACTTTCACAAGTTTTTTTTTGGTGCCAAGGACGAACCCTATTGTCACTGGACTAATTCGGACAACGGGTTCGGGTAGCTGCCATACAACTCAAAGAGTTTATTTTAAATATTTCAAAAACTAATAAAGCTATAAATATAAAATTTTGTATACATGTGTCCAATTATATTCTACACATGCTCAAAAATTATAATGGGATAGCTGCACCGGTTCGGGTGGCTGCCATACAACTCCAACAGCAAATTTTTTATATTCGGCAAAATAATAAAGTCAGATTCATGAAACTTGGCAGTCATGTGTCCAATTATAGGTCAAATATATTTCTGAAGTTTTGCTTGACAGGTTCGGGTACCTGCCATACAAGTCTAAAAGCTTATTTTAAATATTTGGAAAAATAATAAAGTTAAATTCATGAGACTTGGCAGTTGTGTGTCCGATTATAGATCAGATATATTTGTGAAGTTTTAGTGGAATTGTTTGACAGGTTCGGGTACTTGCCATACAACTCCAAAAGCTTATTTTACACATTTGGAAAAATAATAAAGTCAGATTCATGGAACTTGGCAGTTGTATGTATGTCCGATTATAGATCAGATATATTTCTGAAGTTTTGGTGGAATTGCTTGACAGGTTCGAGTAGCTTCCATACAACTCCAAAAGCTTATTTTACATATTTGGAAAAATAATAAAGTCAGATTCATGAAACTTGGCAGTTGTAAGTCGAGTTATAGGTCAGATATATTTCTGAAGTTTTGGTGGAATTGCTTGACAGGTTCGAGTAGCTTCCATGCAAGTCTAAAGGCTTATTCTTAATATTTGAAAAAATAATAAAGTCAGATTCATGA